TTTACCTTTAACTTTAATTAGTAGTTAGTTTAGTTATTACGTAGTAGTAGTAGTTTAGTTTACGTTTTACGTTTTCTTAGTAATAACTAATAACAACAACTTAACTTAACTACTACTTCTATATATATATATATATATATATATATATATATATGGAAAATCTTCCTCTTAGCCCGAGGGCTAACAAGAAGATATGAGCCCAACGGCTCAAATTCAATCTAGGCTTATCTGACAGTCACGGCATTATTTTGTGTTTGAATTTTAATTTTTTTTGTACAGATCTAAATCATTTGAAATTTTAGGTGTGTTTTATTCTCATCAAGCTTCACCTCATAAAAATGTAAAAAAAATAATCCACAAAAATAAAATTGATCGAAATACCCCTAAAACTTTAGGGGGGTAGTTTGACCAAATTTTTCATGTAAAATATGTTTTTGATATTTTTTGAAGATTCAGCTTTTTTTTTTTTATCAAACACTTAAAATTTTAAGTGATTTAGATTTGTAGAAAAAACATTAAAATTCAAACACTATTGGGCATCCGTGATCATCAGATCGACCTAGATTCAATTTGCGTCGTTGGACTCATATATTCCTGTTATTTTGGTTAATTTATATTTTATGAATTATTTTTTTTATATTTTTATTAGGTGCGCCTCACTAAGATGTACACACGCTCCAAATTTCAGATCATTCCGATTAGTAAAAAAAAAATGAAAATTGAAACACAACCGGACAACTGTGATTATGCGATGAAATTTGGATGGTAATGAGGGTAGGCGAAATCACTGTTCATTTTCGCTTATAGGCGTTTTGTAGTATCTTCCATATATATATATATATATATATCATTATCATCATCATCATCATCTTTAGAGCCTTTTCCTAACTAATGGGGTCAGCTACACAAATCCTGGTGTACTATTCTATTGTATTAAGGGCCATACCCTCAGTGAGGCCATAAGTCCCCATATCTTTTCTAGCCTTTTAGGCCTATCCCTTGCCTTTTTTTAGCCTTCCACTTGAACGAACTCACCCTTCCTAAAAGGTGTTGTACTGGATCTGCGCCACACATGGCTAGCCCACCTAAGTCTACTTTTTCTCACCTTATTGCCTATTGGTGCCACACTTAAATTCTTCCTAATGTATTCATTTCAAATCTATCTCTTCTTGTCTTGCCACTTATCCATATCAACATCCTCATCTCAGCTACACTCATTCTAATCAATCTCTAAATGAATTTTCGTTTTTTAAGGATTGATTATTGGGATGAAGAGAGGGTGTGTGTAGTTTTTGAGGTCATATAGATGTGTCAAACATGGTTTTCTAAAAGTGTGGTTTCATTATATTACAATGATGTGATGACATGAAATCTCTCCCCTATAAACCTTTTATCTTTCTCTTTCTTTTTTTTTTTTTGTGGATCCATTTGGAGGCATCCTACAAGTGTATGAATTACAATCTTGGGAACCTAAGTTTCGCAGGTCTTTTTTGGCTGTTACTCTTCTCTTTCGGTGTATCATCCATGTATCCCCTAATGATTATTGATGTACAGTTGTTGCAGATCTTAAGCATATCAAACCTTCTTGATTTCATGTGCTATTTAAATGTACTATTTCATGCGGCCTATTTGGATTCCTCGAGACAATATATCCTTTTGGTAGTGATAATATTTTGGGTATCACTTTTGGTCAAGATCTTTCTTATGTGTCTCCTATGGATGTTGCTTTATCATTTTTGCTTGCATAGTTGCTGGTCCTAGCATTCTCCTATAAAGAAGATAAAGTTTTATGAGAAAGATCTAGTATATTCCACATTGACTTGGGGTTCAAAGTAGTATTTGCATTTGGTATGCTTAAGGTGATTTGCATTATCATTAGTCAACCCTGCTTTTTCTTGGAGTCTTCTATAGTCAGCTATCTTGTTCTGAAATCTTTTGTAATAATGATTTTAAAGTTAAAACTGTCTTTCCTTATTAATCCTCTACTTGTTTTATCATTTTGTGCAGAATACTACGTCTCACTTTCCTATACTATGTACAGTACTTATTATGAAGGTTGTTGATCTGTTGGAAGTATATAACAGCAAATGTGATTTTTGAGCTTTGCAAAAGCTCTCAAATTTCACGCAAGAGGTTGTGGAGTATTAATGTGAATTCATAGCTGTATTAGTTTTGTACTTTAATAATTAGTTATATGCCTAGCCACTAAAATGAGATTATAATCACATGGTTTCCATCCTACATTCGACCCTAAGAAGCTAGCAACAAGGATATTGATGCTTTCAATTTTTTTCTTTGGAAGATGAAATTGTATGAATCGTAGCAAACTTTTTCACGAACTGGCTGAATGTAAAACTATCCGGCCATGCCATTATTTGTCATATTGTGCAGATTACTAGCCTATATAGATGAAGGTATACTACTTATATGGATGCTAGTGAAGACTTGGATGGCAATCCAATAATTCTGTGCTTGCATAATGGATCTTAGGTATCTATTTCGCATGAATTGCAAGACAGGATTTTAGGTAAGGGTTTTCAGTGAAGCAATTACTAATAAGGAGGTTGCCTTCTTCCCGAACTTTACAAGAAGTGTATTGCCTCTAGATGTTCCCAGTGTGAATAACATAACTTACCTGAAAAACCATGTCACTGGACCACTGTCTGGTGTCACTGGACTACTGTCTGGTACATACAGGTGACAGCAGCTTGAATCTGTCACTTCATCAAGAGATTCGCACCGCTTGTCTTTCTCTCCAGATCCAGAGTGACAAATTTGGGAAGGAATGAGGAATATGGTTGCTTTTTTATCGCAGAACTGCTCCAACTATTTTAGCGATGTTCACTTATACTACTGGGGACATTATATGCCACATTTAATGTATCATTGGTATGATCGCCCTTAGAATTTGAGAATAATGTATCAAAACCTATGCCATCTTAGACAGGCATTTTCTTGGACAGAATAGTGCTCTTAGAAAGTTAATCTCTTTTTATAACATGGTAGGACATGTTTTATTTGTGAGATTAGACTTTCATCACATCAAGAAGTCACTCCATGGAGAAGCCTGATTTTCAGCTTTGCGATAAATGTATTTTGGCAGTGTTATTTTATCCGTTGTTTATTTACAATCATACTTTTCATTCTTAATGGTGCTTGAGATATATTTCATCATGGCTTTGTTATGACATTGATATATGGCAACTTTATGAATTTATATACCATGATATTTTGTTAGACGTGGAATTTAGTTAATTTCACTACTAAATTCCACTTAGCAAGATATTTTGCAAATGTTCTGCATGCAGTTTCTATTGATGAAAATTTCTTCTACAGTATACCTCGTATAATTTAGTCAAAATTTGAAGTTGGATGCTATTAGTGGTGTCATGCACAAAACTTTCTTTCATGTATTCGTGTGTGCACTTCCATGGTGGCAGATGCATATACCCAGAACCCACAACGTAGTTCAAGTTTGATATTATAGTTTATGGACCACTCAATTGACTCTTATGGCATAATTTCTCTTGTATATCATGAAACCTTACCATTTGGAAGGTGCTGAATTTACGTTTTTTCGAAGTTCTATCCTTTTTAAAATTTTATCATGATGTGTGTACGATCCCAGTGTCATATGGGCTGCAGTATATATAAATGTGATATCATTTTGAGTCCATAAAACTCTACCTCACTTGATACTTCCAAAATAATGAAATACTATGTATTGCTTTATAGCTGGCTGAGTTTATGATATTATCAGTTTCATCTAGCCATGTCATGATGATAAAAGTTCAAGTTCTTTTTGTAACAATTCAGTATTCCAAAGGACATGAACTGCTTGAGGATCATCGAATGCATACCTGGTTCAAACACACGCAGTAAACACCTCCGAAGAGAGATTGCCTTTCGGATCCTAATAAATTGCTTGAATGTGAAGGTGATTTTCCTCCTTTTATAATGTTCTATCTGTAATTTTTATATTTCTTTGATAGATTGCAGTTTCTAAATATTTATACTTTTGAGAAATACCTTCATGACTTGCCATATCTTATAGTATACATTTTTACTTTATTTTGCTATCACTCATCTTCCTACATGTTGTAATTTTTTTACGTCAAAACTTTCTGTGTTATAGGTCGACTTGGTGCTATGTGACTTTCAGAGTGCCATAATTTCAACTTTATATACGAATAACAAGTGGGAGAGTTAGCTATAACTTACTTGGTTACTCTGGTATATTTATATCTTAGATGCGTTAGATCAATCGACATGCTTTGGTAGAAAATCGCTGCCTGCATAATGTAGACATGTTAGAAATACTTTTGGGAAAGTGCAATGTCCCCATGAATCAGCGCCTATATACTTGCAGCAGGCCAAAGTTGAGCTCATTTCTGAAATCTCTTTTCTACATAGTTTTTTAGTTGATACGAACCAGTGTTAACAAACTTGGCGAGTCAGAGTGTTACTTGGTCTTGGCAGCCTGCTGATCCCGGGACACCCCTGCTTGTTTAGGGGGAACTCTTCACCTGCTTACCCAAGTAACTTGGGTGAGTTTTTTTAGACTCGCAAGATTCTGACAAATTTATCAAGTCTGTCGAAACTTGCCGAATGCGACACTTTTATAGTCCAAAGGTAGGAGGGGACTGGGGGACCCTACTCCCCTTTCTGCCATGTTTTCTTCAGTCCAGGGTCCATTGCCTCTGAATGTTGATCCGTAGGCATTTTTTTTAAAACAATTAATGATTGAAAAGATCAAATTCGAAAGAAAAAAAATAATAATCATAATCTCAGATTTGAGGATTTTGATTTTCGAACTAGGGTTTGGCTGAAGTTCAAAAACTTCCTAAACTTTTGCATCTCAGCTTGTTTCTTGGCTGAATTTCTCCCCTAAGACTGCTTTGAGTATTCTATTAAATTCATGCTTAATTTCGACAAAAGACACTTTTACACCAAAACACTATTTGGCCCAAAATTTCAAGAGAATGGATCAACTAAATCCAGACTTGAACCCCAATCTAGTTTATGGGTTTCGATTTGGGGTATTTGAGGACTTATTCACAAAGATTGGGATAGTCAATTCGTAACAAGTGCAAATATTGGAGGATCAGCTTCTAAAATTTGGGCAAGTGAAATTAGGTTTTATTTTTTTAATTTAAATTTATATATTCAAAATTTTCAACAAATATCACTGGATTTAAGTATATTTTATTATAATATTTAAATTTTGTTGCAATCTGTCAAAAAATCAGTAAGTTCGTTCCCCCCCCCCCCCCCCCTCCCCATGTACACAGATAATTTTTATTTTTTTACAATGTTGATTCTGATTAGATTTCTTTTATGTCTTTTTATGCCTTTATCATTCTTGGAATGTTTCAATTGGTACTAAAATTTACATATATGAACTTTTTCGAGATATATCTATTGATGTAATAGCTTAATGTTATTAACGAGTCTTTTTATCTTAATGTTGATAGTGGGTATTTCTTGGTGGTGTTTTATGCTTAGTATTCCTAGTTTTTTTCCAAAATTTCCTCCCGAAAAGCTCATTAGATTAATTACTTTTCATATATATATATATATATATATATATATATATATATATATATAGTAGGTAGTAGTATATAGTAGTAGTAGTATATAAGTATAATAACTAACCTAA